TAAACTGAGTGTAATTACTAACAGCTCACTTGAAATCCAAACCCAGACCAAATCTTTCAGTCACCTGCTATTCTGGCAACTGTGCCGAAATGTAATGATTTGATAACTAAGCATTTCTTTGGCTGAACTTACCTATTTCAAATGAAGAACTGGTTCAACAGTCTAACAGCAGAACACTTTTATTCACAAAGGGCAAATAAAAAAAGGAAGTAAAAAGCCCACGAATGCAGCACTATCCGTTTCAGAAACTGAAGTAATTGTATAGAAAAAAAAAAAAAGGAATGTTGTATTTTATGTAAAAAATGCATGTTCTTGCTTTGAGGTTCTGGAAGAGTGAAAGGCAGGACTGCCTCTGTTTGAAGAAAAAAGTTAGAAAGAACATGACTAAAGTCACGGAGGGGAGCTACCATTTTAGCAGGTGAGTGAGCCTTCTTACTGCACAATCAGCGGAAATGTTTAGCAGACAGTGTGAGATCAGGAGTGCACAGAGGCTGACTGTCTGTTCCTTCAGATGAAGAAACCTTCTAGAGAAGCAAATAATTTAGATTTGAAACAGAGTCATGGGAAATAAGTGGGGAGACTAATAGCAGAAGTAAGTTGGGTGAAGCTGAGCATGAAGCAAAAGTACATGCTATTTCAAGGAAAGGAATCAGTGAGAACAGAAGAAAAGGGCAAAAGTCTTAGAAAGTGGAATTCAGTCTAACCAGGGAACAGGCTGAAAGAATCTCCTGGGAGGGAAATCTAAAGGAGGGAAGTGTCCTAGAGAGCTGAGAGCCTCTATTAAATCCAACAGCAGCCAACTATACTAGTGTAGAAGGATACAGAGAATAGTGATAAAACAATATGGAAATAAAAGGTGAAAATAAAAAGAAACTATATAGAAAGCAGAAGAAAGGACACCTATTTAGGGACAAGTATAGAGGAACAGCACCAGCATGTGGGAGTAACAGTGGAAAGGTTATGACACAGAACAAGTTATAGTTTCCAAGGGACATAAGAAGAGTCAACAAAAAAGGTTCTACAAAAACAGTAGTTTGAAGAAGACAGGAAAATACAGTTTATTTAGGTAACAGGAAAAGAGAGCACACATCGGATAACGTAGGTAAGCCTTATACTCAATGCCGACCTTCCTTCAGTTGTTCGTTCTCCCCCACTCCTCTCGACACTCACCCCTAAATTAATTAACCTAGTTTTAGTGGCTGGACAGGAGAGTGAAGGAGTCAGCTCGAACATATGCAGTAAGCTGGAGATTTTCAAGTCAGGACAGCCTTCTGAACATCACCTTAAACTCCTTAAGGAAGTAGCTGAATACATCTCTGAACCTTATGCACATCCAAATACCCTGTGAACAATGAGAATTTGCTTACAGGTAAAACAATAAAGCTGGAATCCCTTCTCTAAGTAAGGCAGAGCAGGGATTTCAGCCCAAGTCTCCCTTCTAGGTAACTGTCCTGGACCAGTAGATTATGTAAGAGTCTAAAATAGCGTTCTTAATTTCTGTTGGAGCTGTTCCTCTTTGCACAGAAACACTTTACTAGCCAATGAAACGGACAGCAAGAGAAAAAAACACTCTCTAATATAGGTGCATCTGCCGGGCATCTGGGTCCCAATCCTTGCTCCAGTGACTGTTCTCTGTTCCCAAGAGCAAGCACATCAGTAGGAAAGGCAGAGGATGGGATTTGGTGCTTAGGTGTTTTTGAAATGTGGAAGGTTTGGGATCGTAGCCCCTGAGACAGAGAGAGAAACTGAATATACTCTTCTTGCACCAAGGGTGAATGCCCTAATCACCAAATTAGTTACAGGATTAACAAAGAGTAAATTTCTTCCAATTAAGTCTTGGAGTTTTTCCAGCCACAGTTACTTGATGAATTCAAATACTTTTGAGACTTTAAATCACACCGTTCAGCAAATTTGCTGTTTCTCAGTAAATAAACACACACTCATACAGCCCTAATGATTATTGCCTGAAGGTGAACAGAGAAGCAAAGTAAAGTTATAATTAGTTGAACCAGGATACAACTTTCCAGCAAAGCGCTCAGCTGCCAGTTGTGGCCTTCAGGCCTGCGGTCCCCCTTTGCCCTGGGTGCTTTTGGTGGACACGCGTGCTGCCAGCTGGAAAGGTGCTGTGCCTCCTGAATGGCACGGCAGCCACAACATGACTGCAGGGCAGCAATCAGCTCCCCAGGCACAATAAGGCTCTTTCAAATGGTGGGGAGTGCTCCAGCTACTTCTTCGTAATGCCATTTACCTTGTGCAAATACGGAGAATTAGAGCGCATTTCCCATGCAAGGTGCTTCTGAGCAACATATGTCACTGTTAGTGTTCTGACTTGGAGTTCTCACTCTTTTGTGCCTAGCTCATCTTCACATGTGCAAAAATAATATCGAGTTACTATTCATTATGCAATGACGGCATTGGTAGAACCCTAAGTGGCAAGAAAGGGTGAAAACAGCGTATTACTTGACTCTTGAAAAGACTTCTTTTTCGTACATCCATAATCTCCTTTTATCAGGCTCACATCTGAGACAGCTGTTTTGCACAGGCATGTTCCAGGAGCAATGCAATACTCAGGGCACAGCACCAGCATCCACACTGTCTTCACGTTCAACGTACACAGAGAAAGAGAGGAATGAAGCCACATTCAACATTGAGAAAAGGCCTAGTGAAAGCAGTGTGGCTGCTCAACAGATTTGGGACTTCTTCCTCTCCCTTCTTGAATGGAAACTGCCAGCATATTGCAGGGGATTGAAGCCAACCATTCAAGAACTGCCAGTTTCTCTGCCTTTTTTCTGTGGCTACAAAGTATTTGTTATCGAAGCCATCTTTATGAACTTTTCTTAAGAAGACTGGGAACTGAGAGAATTTGCTGGAGTTAGCTTTTCTCCCCCTTTCTCACAACTTTGCATGGGGAAGCCACTGTTAACAAGGTATCATTTTACACTGTTAAATGGATTAGGTTGTGCCTGAAATTTTGTATATTCTATATACTTAAAGCCAATTATCTTACAGGTTTCTACTGTGTGCCAGCTATGTTTTGCCTTGTGTTTCTGATTGCAATAAAACATTTAAAAGAAAAGGAGTCTGAATTGTCAAATTTTTACTAAATCATAAGCTGTGAACACACAGCAGTTTCCCTTTTAGCTTTATACATTTTCTAAAGGGTTTTTGTGCTTTTTTTCCCTAGGCAATATTCCTAGACTATAGTTTTTAGAAAACTGAATAATACCACTTGCACCTCAAGCTAATTACAGTATGAAAAATTTTATCAGAACTACCATCAAAATCTCTATAGCTATACTTCGTTTTTGAAGGAGGTATACAGCCTTCCTCTACTAGACTAATGGAAAAGAAACTCGCCCGTATAAGATTATGCAGTTGTTCCATGCACAAAACATTGAACTTACTGAACCCTCTTATTTTCCACTGTAGGAACCATTACGACAAATCCAGGTTTGTGGTAAGAGAAGTAAGATTCATTGAGCAGCAGGTTTAAATCCTTGTGTGCCCTCTTGGCTAAGTGTGTAACTGAACTTCACAAAAGGGCAGCCTCAACATCCTTCAGGCCCCAAGGGGCTTTCCCAACCAATACAGTGTTGGCTTTGTAAAGCACCAGCCATAGCATTTGCTTCAAACTCAAGCATTACTGGATTTCTTAAAAATTGCCTTTTGCACTCAGCAAAGCCAGATGACAAGTCTTCTAAAGGCAAAAGCGTTCATGTTAGCGATACAGCAACTAGCAGTGTATGACTATATATAAACCTATATGACCCTAGTCCTAGATGATAAGGAATTAGACAAAACCTGAGAGTTTTTTTAGTGATGTAACTCACTAAACAGCCAGGACCCAAGCCAAATGCACGTGCTATGTATATGTCTTGTACTTCAATGTCACAGAGTATGTGCTGAAAAAATGAATTCAAACAGGAAGAGTGAACATCTGCTCCTGAGTGAAAAATTATTAATATGCACATCGGAATAGATGTATTTCAAGCATTCCTTAAGGAATCTTAATATCGTTTAATTGTATTTGTTCAGGATAAGCTGTAGCATATTAAAGGCACCTTGTGATTAATATCACCTAAGGAAAACTAAAAATTTGCAGCCAGCTATAATATAATAGACACAACAATTTGTTTTAATGGAAGCTACTCTCAGTTTTAACTAGCTTGAGAAATCAAAAGAAACCCTTCAGGATCCACACTGCCAAACTCACAGCTTCATTTTAGCTGTCCAGAAGAGCACTTCTCAAAGTTTTATTGGGAAGAGGCAGGTATTTCTGAGGCTTCCAGAAGGAGAACCCCTCTGCCTAACTTTAAGTCTTTTTGTTATCAATTATATGTGTTTGTCCAACATATTTTATAGCTAATTCCAGTAGTTAATCCTATATTATGAAAATTTTCTCTTTTATTAATAAATAAGTTCTCGTTAATCTTCTTTGCTTTCCTACCGGATGCAGTCTTCCTTCCAGGCCTCTGTAACTAAAAAAAATAAAGACTTGATTTCAGAGGCTGGTAGGTGTTAGATTACTGGATAGCTTCTCCGCAGGAAAGGACCTGCTACCAGCAATGAAGGACAGATACAGCAAATTAGTTTTTTATAAAGAAGTATATTTAAAAAAAGAGGAAGACTCGATATGCTGGAAAAAATAGTAAATTTGGTATATATAATTTTCTTTTATGTGCATATCTGCAGAATATCTCAAGTAAGGAACACTAACACTGAGAGAAAGAGAACAGCACTACTGACTGGCTTTAGTTCATTCTTGTAACAAAAATAAACCAAGTTACACGAAAATATATTTTCAACTTCATCTTGATACATAAGGAAAAAAGGGTGCATCTGTGTTGCTCTTAAAGTTCTTCCAAAGAGAAAAGCAGTATAAGAGTCATTATTAATTACATAAATCTGGGAAATTTCTTGTAATCCAAAGACTGCAATCACTAATGACTGCAGAGCAGAAAACACACCCTAAAAACCTGGCGATGAGAAGCTTTAGCTACCTAAAGCATTAATGAGCTTGTACCAGTCCCGCTTCCGCACACCCTTCATAATGGCCTCAACTTTCACCTGCCCAACTTGTTTTGGTTTCTTGCCTCCAGCACCTGAGGCCTGCATTCGACCTGCAGCCATGGTTCATCTTTTCCGTTCACAAAAGCCCATTCACCAAAGTTGATCTTCGTGCACCTCTTGAAGGCGCCTGTGGTGCCACATGCCCTTGCCAGGCCCCCCAGTGCTCATCGCCTTCATCTGCTTATGTCGTGGCGGCCAGCTTATACCCCCCTTCCTGTGCATTAGGACCGATGACTTTTTTGCAGAAGATTCAAATCTTCTCATTTCCACTTCTCCACTGGAAGAGCTGCTGAAACTTCCCATCTTACCGTCACCATGATCTCTCTTCACGTGGCCTATGCTGCCAGTCCCCGCGTCTGGATCGCTGCAGTATTTGCTCCCCCTGCACCTACTTTTATGCTACAAAAGTACCTTCATACATGTATACACTGCAAAGTATCTCTAGTGAAAAAAATGACATTCACCGCCACTGATTCACTCACTCTTCCTTTAGTTCAGCCGTTTGCTACCTAGATAATACCTTCATTTTAACCTCATGGCATCCCACTCCAGCAGTACCAGTCACCTTTCAGATATCTAGGATCTGTTCCTCAAAATGACCTACCATTCCCTGCCTCTAGTTCTCTCTCCAGTAGAGTCTTGCTGATTTCTTCCAAAAATATTTAATGAAATACAACTTTGGCCTTTTTCTTCTTCCTCTCACTCCTGCTTTCCATGGAGATAAATGGGTAAAACTGGCTCTGCACTGTGCATAACTGGAATCTCAGCAACAAATTCAGATGGAGTTGTCTAAAGTTAAGCAACAAAATAAACCCCCGGCTTTTGTCCCTATCTACCTTACAGCTGTCAATGCAATTTCAACATGGCTAAACAAGGTTTTAATCTTTTCCCTGACGCAATTTGTACATCAGACGTTATTCTGATTTTGTTTGGTTGGTTTTTTTTTAAGATCTGCATGTTCAGGAGGTATCTAAGCCCTGCACATGCTTTCTATTAAACACAAAACTGATCTTCTAATCTTTCCCCATAATTCTCCTTTGCCTCCAACTTCAAAAACCTGGGCAGATGTTACTCTGCTCGTGTGCCAAGGTCACTGGCTATCATACTTACCCTACAGACTACTGACTAGTACTGTATTGTTTTCTTCCTTGTTCTCCTGAAACTATTTCATGTGTCTCGTCTTAAATTTAGATCATAAATTCTTAGGGGCAGAGGTTATATTTCTGTTCTGCATTTGTCCAGCACTTGTTACAATGGGGCCCTGTATCATGACTATGCCTTTGAGGTATTATAAATACAAATAAATAACAAAAAACACACTAACACAATTACATTTTGTTTTTGCTTACAGCTATGTAATTTTGTATGGGCATTAACCAAAGATACATTAGTCTCAGCATATGCAAGTGCTTCTGTGAGACCTCAAAATATTTTGAATATTTCTTTATATTAGAAATGCCACACAGCTAAGAGAAGAAAAGTAACAGTGGAATATTAACAGATTTATCACAGGACCATACACCACAGATAATTATATCTACTTTATCGCTAATTTGTAGGGCTCAGAACAACACTTCTCCATGTTTACTTTCCTCTCTTTTCATTGACTCTGTTTTAGTTTCCTCCTTTTGCAGCAGCTCACACACCCGGTGGACTCGACAGTATTAGAAAAATATGACAAGCCTACAATCAAGCCTGTTTTTCTCAAATCATCCAGCTCTAGGAAAAATATTACAAGAATGCCCTACTTATTTTGATACTCTGCTATTGTAAACCTTTCAAGGTTTTCAAAAGCAAGGTTTTAAGAGTAATTCCTTCCACTTGTCAGAGGTTATTTAGTTATTCCCACCCATCAGTCAAAAATCAGTTAACTGCCTTCCTGAATGACAAGCAAAAGACTAAGCAGAGTCACCACTGTAACGTGAAGTCCTTTAAGTTGTATTAAGCTATTCTGTAATTCTCTTTAGCAGTGATGCTGCTGTAATGGGATTTTTTTTCCCCTTCAAAATAAAATTATTAGCTTAATATTGGAGATGCATGAAGATATGAGGAAGCTTACAACTTTTCATTAGGATATTTAATCACACTGCCTCTAGGCTATATACACAGAACTGCAAGCAGAGTCAGGTTTCTTTTTCAGAGTTTTAATTTGAAGAATTTTTTTCCTTTCTTTATAATTGTTGATTGAAATCAGTGTCTTAACGTTGCATAGTTTTGTCTTCTGATTACTGCATGTTATTAACGCAACCAATGGCAGTAAATTTTCACAGCAATATAAACCAATACAAAATAACACTTTCCAGTTATTTATTCATTTATTCATGTAACATAAAATATAGCCGAGGTGTACTGAAAGTTCACCTGGTTTCCACTAATGTAAAACCAGTCACAGTCAAGGGACCTGTTCGCAAGGAAGTAAAGCTTTAACAGTTCCTGCCTGTAAAGCACGAGAATCCCACTTTAAGATTATATTTGCAATGCGCCCACTCTTCCGCTCTTGTGTAAGAGTGTTTCAAATGCTAGATAAAATTCATTCTCCAAACCATAAAAGTTGAGTAAGATTATCATTGAGTTACTTGTTCAACCCACTAAAAAAGACGTAGTCGCAGCCCAAGCCAGGCAGGACCAACACAAAGCTGTCTGGGTAAACAAGAATCTCTGTCCTGCAGTTGATGATAATGCAAAAAGATTGCTATTCCTACAGATACCTCTTCTGAAGTCTGATAGGAAAAAGAGAGTTTATGACACAGAATTTCTGTAGGAAAAAAATAATTACAGTTATGCACACATTACAAAAGCTACTTAACTATGTGCAACTTGCAAATAAAATGAGATTGCAAGTAGGAATTCTGCAGAATAGTACACTTTTGGATATTACCTATTATGTGGAAACAAACTCCTCTTTGTACAAAAAAGCCAAATGAAAGGACTTTTTCTACAGGTGCCCTGCGCAAGATTGAGTTACACTTTTCAAACGGCAGAGAAAAAATACGTATCTATTCCATGCTGTAATGCGTCAACTGCTAAAGATCACTTTGGAGTGAGGTATCTTTTGTTTGCTTGTTTCCGTGGCCAACATGTCTACGTCCTTGAGCAGCCACTGGCCTGTGCACAGCATTCTCCTCCATGCTATTCTCTGCACTGAAAGGGAAGGAGAAAGCAAAACCCAGAACATAATCAACCCAACCAAACAACCAAAGACAAAGCTTCAACTGTTTGCAATACCTAATTCTTACTCCATCTCTCTTTATTCCTCGTTCAGGCCACTTCTTCCTTGACGTATAAAGAAACGCCTTGCACTGAACACTTCTGCAATGGAATTTCCCTCTCAATCTTCAGCCGCCCTAAGGCTCACTCCTACAGCCTTCTACTGCTACTACTACTTCACTACAAATTAACACTTAGTTCGCCAGCTGAGGCTACGCTCCTGATACCCACCTAACATAATTCTTCTTTGTACATCGTATACGGTTGAGCAAATCTCTTGGACCGCCAACAGAAAAAAAAATAAGTACAAGCATTCAGAAGTCAGCATGATTTTAAAACAAGGTTTGTGATGTTCTGTTGACACATTCAGCTAAGGGAGTTTTATTTTCCTGCGATGTTTATTATTTTTCTTGCATTTCCTCTCCCAAGTAGTTTCTGCACTACTTGTAATGACTCCTAACACTAAGAAAACACTGGAAATGTGGTGAAATTCATCAGATCTGCATTTCACAGACTTTCAAAAGCAATAAAAATGTTGTTAAAGCTGCATAAATGACAACTTAATCCCACATCAGATGGAGGTAAACACAGCAAGGACCAAATTAAATGCCATTTCTTTTTCGGTGTTTCTCCTTGGACTGCGAAACATTTGATATGATCTATGAGGTGTCCAGGACAATAAAGCAAAAAGATACATTTGACTAATTCTTTTTGTATGTACAGCAAGATAAATTGTCTTGTTCCGAAAAGCTGATTGGAGTTGTACAATAGGGTATAAAATTGTCATTGGAGCAGTCTGGTTTTGTACGTAGTCAAATACCACACCGACAGTATAACAGGATTTGACTGCACTTTGAACGAACTATACCTACATGTTGTTATCTGAACTTAACCCCTCAACCCATGCTTTACATTTCTAATCTTGCAGTTTTACTTTGTTTCTAATGTCTACAGATTGATTCAAAATGCATATGCAAACCTGGAAGAGTATCAGAAAGTTATTTTTACCTACGTTGTGCTGGCTGTACCGAGATACTTTAGTATTTACATAAAACATGTTTTCTGCTTACAGTTCTTCTACTGCTTGTCCTTTGAAAACCTGAAGTTATAGTGGCTAATGTTTTCAATGGCAGTGCCTGAAATTAGGCTCCTAGACTTAAGCTGAAGGCCTCCATAAACGCAGCCATATCTTAAAAGACACTGGGAACCATCCTGTTTTCATTAAACTGATCAATAATGACCTGAAAATTTGGCATCTTAATGACCTAGTAAGGCCAGATGCTGACATGTGATATGGTCCCCTTAAACAGCACCTGAATCTGCCCAGCATATTTTGTATCAACATGGAAAAATCTCTACCATGTTTTTAACTTGACTTCCAGACCCCTGAGGCCGGGGTCCCCGCTCCATTTTCCACTGTGTTGTGTAGCTCTACGAAGTAGCTGGGACTCAAGTTCTCAGTAGGACCAGTTCACTTTATAGAAGAAAACAAGAACAGAGACATTGGGTCAGACAGAGGGGTCCATACAGCCCAGCATCAAGCGGCTGCATAGAGAAAAGTTTAAGCACAGCATGAGCATAGATATACTCCCGGCATGCAGCTACTTGAGATTCATACACTTTCTAACCCAGAGGTGGCAAATTTCTACTTCAATGGATTTTTCTTTCATTAATTTGTCCAATGCCTGTTTCAACCGCTACAAACTCTTAGCATCCATTGTCCCCTAAGGGAAGAAATTCTATAGCTTTATTATATGTTGTGTGGAAAAGTATTTTTCTTCCAGAGTTCTGCTCATTTTTATCAGCTACCTCCAGAATTACAACTATTGACAAGACATCCTATCCAAAATGGA